GTGTGTGTGTGAGAGAGAGGGGGCAACAGTGTGTGTGTGTATGTGGGGGGGACAACAAACACTGTGTGTGTGTGAGAGAGAGAGCAACAGTGTGTGTATGTGGGGGGCAACAAATACTGTGGGGGGGGACAACAAACATTGTGTGTGTGTGTAGGGGGAGGGCAACAAACACTGTATGTGTGTATGTGGGGGGGCAATAAACACTGTGTGAGTGTGTGTGTGTGAGAGAGAGAGAGAGCAACAAACATTGTGTGTATGTGAGGGGGCAACAAACACTGTGTGTGTGTGAGAGAGAGAGAAAGCGTGAGAGATAAAGGGAGTTTAAGGGTTGGGGAGAGGAGAACATAAACCCTAACCCTAACCCTAGGCCTTACTGCATCTCAGAGGAGAAATGAGGGCCTGGAATCCGACTGATCAGATGGGACAGGAAAGGGTCCAAAGGCGGTCACCTGTCAGGGTAACTCCTGCCCCTTTCCACAGGGGCACCGGGCTAACCAGAAGCAGGAGGACAGACAAATGGAGCAAGGACTGAATTGATCATGGTTCCAGGAGCCCAGGACACAGCTTCAAGGCTTCTGAGGAAGGCTCACTTAGCAAACACCACAGAACTAAAGCAGCCAACCCTGTGGGGGCCAGAGGGCTGGCCAAGGATTCTTGGTTTTGACAAAGATAACTAGAAATCCCAAACAAGGCCCGCAGAGTTAGAAGACTCCATCCCAAACTGAAGACAATAAAGAATGCATCAATTCACAACATTTAGCTTAGCTAGTTGAGAATGTCTGCCTTGAGCACTGTGCTCTTTTGAGATATAACCATATGAGATTGAACTGACAACGGCAACCCAAAAGATTAAATAGGAAACATAGGGGGCAGTGAGTTTATGTTAATGGAGGAGGAACAACTTGGAAAAGCAGGATGAGAAAGAGAAAGAATGTAATCAATGTCACTGAATTGTACAAGTTGGATATATGCAGAACGATGTTCTGGATATATGCAGAATGATGTTAGGGATATATGCAGACTAACCGTCCGATATCCTGGATATATGCAGAACGAAGTTCTGGATACATGCAGGATATTGTGTCTGATATTCTGGATGTACACAGAACAATGTTCTGGAAACAAGCAGGATATCACGTCCGATATTCTGGATATATGCACAACGATGTTCTGGATACATGCAGGATATCGTGTCCAATATTCTGGATATATGCAGAATGATGTTCGGATATATGCAGAATATCACGTCCAATATTCTGGATATACGCAGAAGGATGTTCTGGATACATGCAGGATATAGCATCCGATATTCTGGATATATGCAAGAGGATGTTCTGGATACATGCAGGATATTGCCTCCGATATTCTGGATATACGCAGAAGGATGTTCTGGATACATGCAGGATATAGCGTCCGATATTCTGGATATATGCAGGAGGATGTTCTGGATACTTGCAGGATATAGCGTCCGATATTCTGAATATATGCAAGAGGATGTTCTGGATACATGCAGGATATCGCGTCCAATATTCTGGATATATGCAGAATGATGTTCGCATATACGCAGAATATACTTCTGATATGATATTCTGGATATATGCAGAACGATATTCTGGATATATTCAGAATATCCTTCTGATATTCTTGATATATGCAGAATGATATTCTGAATATATGCAGAATATCCTTCTGATATTCTGGATATAGGCAGAATGAGATTCTGGATATATGCCAAATATCCATCCGATATTCTGGATATATGCAGAATGATATTTGGATATATGCAGAATATCCTTCTGACATTCGGGATATATGCAGAATGATATTCTGGATATATTCAGAATGTCCTTCTGATATTCTGCATATATACAGAATATCCTTCTGATATTCTGGATATATTCGAATATATTTCAGATATTTTGGATATACTCAGAATGATACTCTGGATATATTCAGAATATCCTTCTGATATTCTGGTTATATTCAGAAGGATATTCTGGATACATGCAAATGTTCTGGATATATGCAGAATATCCATCCACTATTCAGGACATACGCGGAACAATGTTCTGGATTTATGCAGAATATCCATCCGCCATTCTAGACATATCTGGAACGATGTTCTGGATATATGCAGAGTATCCATCTGCCATTCTAGACATATGCAGAACAATGTTTTGGATATACACAGAATATCCTTCCAATATTCTGGATATATGCAGAATGATATTCTCGATATATGCAGAATATCTTTCCGATATTCTCGATATATGCAGAATGATATTCTCGATATATTCAGAATATCCATCCGATACTCTGCATATGTGCAGAACGATGTTCTGGATATATGCAGAATATTGCGTCCAATATTCTGGCCATATGCAGAACGATGTTCTGGATACATGCAGAGTATCCTGTCCGATATTCTCAATATATGCAGAACAATGTTCGGATATATGCAGAATATCCTTCCGATATGATATTCTGGATATATGCAGAATATCCATCCGATATTCTGGATATATGCAGAATGATTTTCTGGATATATGCAGAATATCCATCCGATATTCGGGACATATGCAGAACCATGTTCTGGATACATGCAGAATATTGCATTGGATATTCTGGACATATGCAGATCGATGTTCTGAATACATGCAGAATATTGTTTCCGATATTCTCAATATATGCCAAACAATGTTCGGATATACGCAGAATATCCTTCCAATATGATATTCTGGATATATGCAGAATGATATTCTAGATATATGCAAATAAATATATGCAGAATATCACCTCCAATATGATATTCTGGATATATGCAGAATATCCATCAGATATTCTGACGGATATATATGCACAAAATTCTTCTGATATTCTGGATATATGCAGAATGATATTCTGGATACATGCAAATATACACGATGTTCTGGATATATGCAGAATATCGGGTCCGATATTCCGGATATATGCAGAACGATGTTTTGGATATATGCAGAATTTCCCTTCCGATATTCTGGGTATATGCAGAACGATATTCTGGATACATGCAGAATATCGCGTTCGATATTCTGGATATATGCAGAACGATATTCTGATATATGTAGAATATCGCCTCCAATATGATATTCTGGATATGTGCAGAATATCCGTCAGATATTCTGGATATATGAAGAATGATATTCTGGATATATGCACAAAATTCTTCCGATATTCTAGATATGTGCAGAATCATATTCTGGATATATGCTGAATATCCGTCTGATATTCTGTATATATGCAGAATGATATCTGGATATATGAAGAATATCCTTCCGATATTCTGGATATGTACAGAATATCCTTCTGATATTCTGGATATATTCCGAATAGCCTTCTGATATTCTGGATATATTCAGAATATACTTCAGATATTCTAGATATATTCACAATGATACTCTGGATATATTCAGAGTATCCTTCTGATATTCTGGATATATTCAGAGTGATATTCTGCCGAACGATGTGCTGGATATATGCAGAATATCTGTCCGATACTCAGCATATGTGTGGAACAATGTGGTGTATATATGCAGAATGTCCATCCGATACTCTGCATATGTGCGGAACGATATGCTGGATATATGCAGAATCTCCATCCGATACTCTGCAGATGTGTGGAACAATGTTCTGGATATATGCAGAATATTCTTCTGCCATTCTGCATATATGCGGAACAATGTTCTGGATATACGCAGAATATCCTTCCACCATTCTGGATATATGCAGAATGATATTCTGGAAATATGCAGAATGATATTCTGGATTTATGCAGAATATCCTTCTGATATTCTGGATAAATACGAACGATATTCTATATACGCAGAATATCCTTCCGATATTGTGGATATATGCAGAATGATATTCTGGATACATGCAGAATATCTCTCCGCGTTACTACAGCTCTGAACAATCACCTTCAGATGAAGTGCTTCCTGGCAAGAAGCTCTTTTCCTCCCAAAAATGTTTATAGTCTTTCCTGGGTGTTGTTCTGGACTTCTTGCAAAGTGACAGATCTTAATTCATGGAACAGGCTCAGAGCATAGCCTGTCCAGTCGGCAAAAAGGGCAACTCTCCCTCCAAATTACGGAGCCATCTGCCTGCTGAGTGCCCCCTGGGGACTCTCTGACACTTTCCCTCAGTAAATAGCAGGCTTGGAGTTCACAGTCAAACAGCCTGTCTGAAGAGAGAGGCTTGACGTCCAACAGCTGTGTGAGGGACTGTTGCTATGGTCGCTATCACTCAGCTGAGGAGATGGTTAAGGCAGATTTTTATTTGTTATATTGAATGATCTACTTTCAGACTTTGATTCTCGTTTCAGGAGGCATCTCTTGCCCAAGCTTCAAGAGCTCAATATTGATTCCAAGCTGTTAATGGCTCCCCAGAGCCTTTACCACAGAATAATTCCTAGAAACAGACTGACAGAAATGGGCTCGTAACAGGGAAATTTCTAATTCCAAATGGCATAAGATAGAGCTGAACCC